ATCACTTTAGCTATTTGCGGTCTTTGGTGGTTCCATACAAATTTTAGTACTATTTTTCTATTTATTTCTGTGAAAAATGCCCTTGGAATTTTGACAGGGATTCTATCTATAGATTACTTTGGGTAGTAATGACATTTTAACAATACAGTTCCTCTAATCCAAGAACACAGGATATTTTTCCATTGATTTGTGTCTTCCACAATTTCTTTCATGGATAGTTTGTTAAGGAAATGCAACTAATTTTAGATGTTGATTTTGCAGGCTGCATCTTTACTGAATTTATTGGTACCAAACATTTAAAGAGGAATTACTGCTCATCCTTCTCAAATTCCTGCAAAAAACTGAAGAAGGGGGAACACTTACAGACTCGTTTTACAAAGCTAGCATTACCTTTATACCAAAGCCAGTAAAGACACTACAAGAAAAGAAAATTATAGGCCAATAATTTTGATGAAGATAGATGTAAAAATCCTCACCAAAATAACATCAAAGCAAGCTGAATAGTACATTTTTACAAACCATCCACCACAATCAAGTGAGATTTATCCTTGGGATCTAAGAATGTCTCAGCATACACCAAATAATACACAATCAATGATACACCATATTAACAGAATGAAGGATAAAAATCACATGATCATCTCAAAGCATTTGACAAAATTCAACATCCTCTCATGATACAAAACTCTCAACTAAGTAGGTATAGAAGGAATGTAACCTCAACATAATAAAGGCTGTAAATGACAAGCCCACATCTAACACCTTGAACAGTAAAAAGCTGAAAGCTTTCCCTGTAAGATCAGGAACAAGATAAGGATGCTCATGCTCACCACCACTATTCAACCTACTACACAAAGTCCTGGCTAGCACACATAGGCAAGTAAAAGAAGTAAAAGGCATCAGAATTGGAAAGGAAGAAGTTAAACTGTCTGTTTGCAGAGAACACGATCTTATATAGAGAAAACCCTACCAACTGCCCAGAGAGATTTGACTCAAACTACCACAACCTGTGAAGTCAGAAACTCCAGTTCAAGCAAAGATTTACAAATCCTAATAGCTACTTTTTATTGAGAGCCAGGTACCCTGCTAATTGCCTTCCCTGCATTTTCTAATTTAAATCTCACTACAACCCTGAGGTTAAAAGTTATTTTCCTGCCTTTCATAGAAATGAAAAAACTTCAGATCTAGAGGTATTAAACGACTGGGGCAAGGTCAAACCAGCATCTGGAGGGAGGCAGTCAAACGCTAGAGTCCAAATGCTGATGCTTAAATATACACGTCCTCCCTTACACCAGAGTCGTCTAGCAGAAACAAATCCTTGTATAGAAGAAAGCACTGTGGGAGGCCGAGGCGGGCGGATCGTTTGAGCTCAGGAGTTCGAAACCAGCCTGAGCAAGAGGGAGACCCCGTCTCTACTAAAAATAGAAAGAAATTATCTGGACAACTAAAGATATATAGAAAAAATTAGCTGGGCATGGTGGCACATGCCTGTAGTCCCAGCTACTCGGGAGGCTGAGGCAGGAGGATCACTTGAGCCCAGGAGTTTGAGGTTGCTGTGAGCTAGGCTGATGCCACGGCACTTTAGCCCGGGCAACACAGTGAGACTCTGTCTCAAAAAAAAAAAAAAAAAAAAGCAGTGCATTCAAACACTGCCCCAGTCAGGCAGATACTATGTGGTGGCATGAGAGAGCACAGGACAGATACATTATCACCTGAAGGGGCCAGACGTGATGTCCTCTCCACATGCAGCCACCACTGTTCATGATTCTGGCCAAATACTGAGCTACTATCTGATGATACACATCCAAAGTACCTGAGTCAGGCAGATTTGTGATGTAGGGTAACTGTTTGCTATTTAAATCAGGAAGTGTGCCAACACTGAGAAAGAGGAATGTAGCCAAACAGGTTACTTACGTTGTCAGAGACTGCCACGAACTGGAGTGGATGGCCACATTGCGGTGAAGCCTCTGAAAGTTACATTCTTTTCAGTTCCAAATATTGTAACAGTCTCCCAAGCACTTTGACTTACCGTTCCTCTTTTGATTGTCCCAACAACCTTCAGCAGCAGGAAGGGGAGGCAGGTGGTACCAGAAATAAAAGCCAGAGCTTTCTACAAAGTTAGTAAAGTTGAGGGAGGAGGAACCAGAATCTAGAGTTTCCTCCTCTCTGTCCAGCCACCTTTCTACTGTACTCCAGTTTACAATAATATTTCAGGTTACTAAGTGCTGCCTAGTCTCCCTGTACCCATGGTGCTGAGTGGTCGTTCGTTATTGTCTGACTACCTT